TAGGATTATTGCTATCTGAAAGGCGTTTTTGATACATATTTTCTTTGGAGCCCTAGGGGATAAAGATAGAATGGCCCAGCCTGTGTATATAATGTGAATGTAAAATGCCACACATGCGATGAATGTAGGACGATAAAGGGAAAGACTGGTGGTTTTCTTTCTCCTTCTTCGACAAATCATCCCGATGACGGTAAAGCAGGTAGCATATCTTCTCGGTTCATGGATTAGATTTAGATGTTTCCTGGAGCAATATTCAAACAGAGTGGCATGGGAATATGGGGGAAATAACCGAACAGAGAGCAGTTCTAAGAGTTCTATCTTTGCTTAAGGAGCTGATCATTGTATGGACAAAACGTGTCTTTGAAGAGAAGCGCAAAGCACTGAATGTGTAAAGGAACTGGGGTGCGGTCGGAGCCCCGTAGAGCCTGCTTCCACCTTGAGGTGAGGCCGGGCTTGGCCATGAGACACAGTTTTTCCTTAGGGAGAGAGCCGCTCTGAGGTCAATGTAGGAATTAATATGAACGTTCAGAAACAAGATGCTTAACAAAGATGGGGTGAGTAGCGTACGTGCGTGCCTATGTTTAGCCATGTGTGTTTCTATGCGTCTAGAACTTTCCTCATTACAAATGGGTTCTCTGGTACTATCCCTCTTGCGCTATCTTACCTTAGAAAATTCCTTCCTACGGAAGTTCTTCCAGTTTCTGCCTTTTGCTTTCTTTATTTATTAAATAAGGAACTGAATAGACCACGGGTCAGCAACCTATGGCCGTGAAGACCAGTCTGGCCCGCCACCTTTTTTGTCAAGCTTTACCGGCACACAGTCATACCTGAATATTGGCTGTGGCTGCTTTCAAGTTATGATGGCAGAGTTGAGTCACTGCGACAGAGTCCCTGTGGTCTGCAAAGCCTACAACCTTTACTATCTGGCCCTTTACAAAATCCCTAACCAACCCTGAACTAGACCATCACGCTTCCTGATTTTGATTTATGATTCTGTAAAGTACAACCAAACAATACAAAAGCCTATTGCTTTTGTAGGGCTTCCTGCCCTCTTTGTTTATCTACACTGCCTTATTCTTAGAAAGATTTAATTAGCTCACAAAACACCAATGGAGCATATATCCACATACAACGTAAAGTTTGAAGAGGAGAGTGAGGAAATAGGGACGAAGAGAAAGTGAGCCAAGAGACACAGAGACGGCATCAGGGGGGTGTTGAAGGTGTAGAATGCAAATCCTGAGATGCTGTGTGTTTTCCGTGGGCCACGAACTTGGCTCGCAGGAGCCACTATGAGAGGAGGGCCATGATCTCCTTCCCAACGTAAAGTGTTCCCTGAAGGTCCACCAGGAAGACCACAGCAATCCCTGCCGGAGATAACTACTCATCTCCTGAGTCTGAGCATTAAAGGGATGACATGAGATGTAGCGACCAAAGCCCCAGCAACCCCCAAACAGCTGGGAGGTACCTCCATGGCATTTACTGTTACACTGAACTGTCCCGTGGCATGCGCCAACTCCACGTCCCAAAGTGGACTTTACACCAATTCTCCCAGAATATTCCCAAATTTTAAATAAGCACGTACCCCCTTTAATAATCAGAAAATAATAAAGATCTTTAATTTTAAAAGATAAATAAAGGATGCAGCCACTCTGGACCACCTGGTGGTCATTTTGATGCAGAACCTCTCAGCCATGAGCTCCAGGAGGAGACCCTGTCCAGTCTTGCTCCCGTCCTGAAGGTAAGCCTGAGTGCCATGGCGGAGACAAGGCAGGCTATTCCGAGAGCCGATGCCAAGGCTCCAGGTGTGAACTATAAAAAGCTACTGGTGAATGGTGGCTGTCATTTCTCCTTTTTCACACTGAGCTCTACAAATTTATATCTAATTTATCAATATAAATAGTTCACACCCTGCATGTCTGTTGCTCGTGGCTTTATGCCCAGGGCCTAGAATAGTGCCTGGTGCAGATGAGAAATAAGTACTCAGTGAATGAATGATGCGCTCGCCTGAGAGATCCCAGACAGCAGGTGTGTCTACAGATGTGCTGGGGTGATCTTGGTGAATTCTCTGCAACCTGGGCCTCACCCACAATGCCTAGCTTTGAGACTCTCACCTGTGACAATGAGACAGGTAAGAAAGCGGCCGAGGTGTGAAGGCCAAGCTCCTGAGCCATGTGTAAAAAAAAAAACAACCATATTAAAAACTGAACAGGGAAACTCTGAACAGCTGGATGTCTAGTCGTGCTTAGTCCCCCTGTTGCAAGGATAAACATTTGGACAGCTCAAGACAAACACAGCTCTGGGTTCTCAACAGACAGAGCTGCATTCTCGTGCGCACTGAGACTGCCATGTGGAATCTGCTCCTTCCTCAGAGCAAAGTTCTGCCTTCCCCTAAAGGAGAGGCCTGTCCTGAAGCACCGCCCGGGACTCCCAGACGCCTGCTCTCTGCGCAGCAGGACCTGCTCGGCTCTGAGTGAGCCAGAGCAACCCGGGCAGGATTTTCTCCAAGGAGACCTTCAGAGAGCAGCTGGCATCACGGGGAGGCTGACGCGGACTGTGCTCGTCCATGCAAATGTTAAGGAGAATCAGGCCAAACAGCCTCAGGACCTAATTGGCTCAGACAGGAATGTCAAAGTGTCACAGCCAAAGCAACAGCTGACAAGGGCTTAGAAAAAGAAGAGGAATTATCTTCGACTGGGAAGTAATGACACAGAAAGAGCACTGGACAGGGAGTCTGGAGGCGCACACATAAGGGCCCAGTTGTGTCACCTGAGGCTGCATATTCATCAGCAAGGCACTGCCCCTCCCAAGCCTTGGGCTCCTCAACTCTAAGATGGAGAGGAATCCATCGATAAGACTGGCTTGCTCACTTCCTTGTCATGGACCCCTCAACCCAACAGCAAAACGAGAGATGTGGATCAAACACAACACGGTCCTTGCCCTTCAACCTGGTCATAACGGATGCGGCTCGCACAGTGCCCGGCTCACAGGAGGCTGAGGGTAACGTTCCTGTGAGCAGCAGTATCAAGATGACCACCGGTGCACTTGGCCTGTGAGCTCTGCTTCCCCCACACCACCCACATCCACCCCCCTGCCTGCACCACTTGGTGCTCGCTCGGGCCTTGCTGCAGCGGGTGCATACTACGTGCCTCACCTCTGCTCTACAACCACCCTCCGCTCACTCTGGGATGATCCCCTCTCCTCAATGGAACTTCATGATGCTTGCTCACAGTTCAAAGCTCAACTCAAATGCCTTCTGTTTTATGGTTTATGATTTAGGTATTCTTCTCAGCTTCCGGCCCACTAAGCGGTCCCTTTCTTGTTTTCAAGCTTTTATCTTTGTTATCTTCTCTGCCACCGAGCGTGGGTTCAGTTCATCTTGAAATGGAGTTTGAGCTCAAAGGCTCTCCTCTCTATGAAGCACCATGAAGGCTTTCTTGATGGTTCCTATGTCCCCATGCTCAGCGCCCCCTACACACACCCATACAATGCTTGTAGCCCTAGCGTTTCTCCTCCAGATATTCCTTCAAGAACTTCCATCCATGGTGCAATGGAATGAGATCATTCCTTGTTTGCCAAAGGGTTGGAAAAAACGCCTAGCCAAGTCATCCTCGGTAAGTCTTGGCAGAGGCTGATGAAGAGGATCCGAGCTGCCTACTGTGGCCACGTGGAAGTGACAGGTATCACATTCGTGCAACCAAACAGTGGGCTGTGCTTCATCTACCATCACTACCACAGGTAGAGAAGGCACTGCTTGCATTTCTTCTCACATGAATGGCCAGACCCAGAATTCAACCTCTGCAAGCTCCCCACACAGAATCCACTCATACACAAGCACAAAAGAGCAATGGAGCATTTACTGAAGACCCTGCAGGGAGGCGAGGATGGTGGTAACTTGGCACAGCCCGCGGCAAGCCACCTTCAATTCCTCAGACGCTCCACATCGCCCTGTCTCTCCTGGGTCCTCCCCATCCAGGTTGTCTTCCTCCAGGCAGCAGCAGGCCTCACCAGTTCCTCTGGCCTCCTTTCCAAAACCACAGCTTTAGATTTCTCCCTTTCCTATGTTGCCAGCAGTTAACATCAGCCACAGTTTCACATCCAGACTCTCCAGAAGGCTCAGCTCCCCAAGCATCCTGGGTTAATAGACCCTCATCCTCCTTGTCGGCTATTTGGCCGCCACCTTTGTGACATGAGCATGGCATTCAGCGTCTCTTTCCTTCCCTCAAGCAGCCTGTGAGATATTCATTCCAAACATAATGTAGAGTTCTCCCCAAGAAGGATTCTGATGGTGGAACTTTCACCACCTCCCTACACCTTTCATCACCTCCTCACTGAGCTTTTGCCATGAAACATCACGGTTTCCAATGTCCCTGCCCGATCTTTGATTCACCCAACTGTCAGGACATTTCCATTCATTCTTTGAGCCAAATGTGTCTTGACCAAGCCCCAGCTTCTGGGCCAGGAAGGGCAGCTTCCAGAATTGCAACAAGAAATCATTTGGAATGCAGCATCCTTCTCGGGGAAACTCCCGTCCCAGAATAGACCTAAGAGAGCCGATGGGCACATACGGAGAGCTCTACGGATCCTGGCATCTATCGTTTATTGGGCTCTCTGCAGAATTCTCAGCACACATTACTTTGACTCCCTTCTCCTCTCCAAGATTACCAAGCGGCATATGTGTGTGTGTGTGCATGCTCATGTACGTGTGCACACTTGTGTGTGTGCGTGCTTGTGCACACCTGCTCTGCTGACAGAGGAAATGCTCTACATCTTCCCCAACACACCCTCTGTGCCCCAGATGCCGGCCCACTCTGCAAACCCCCCTCAAACCACTGGCTTATGCACACAGGGAACCCTGTCTCTACTCCATGACCTGCCATTCACCCCCACTTCCCAATAGCCAGAGGCCTGGAGAAGCCCCAGGAAACACGGCATCCCTCTACACAGAGGCATCATGGACCAGACAGCAGGCCTCCCTGAGGAGGAGGGAATTGTGGACTCACCAGGACTCTGCCGGTCAGCGTCTGGGCAGAAATCATCACCCCCGCCCAGTCCTTCACAGAGGTCATCCAGCCGACCTCGGCTGCCACCGCCTCCTCTTTTTCGTCCACTGGCTTGAGAGTGCCATCCGCCTGGCTTGAGCCATTGTTAATCTTCTGGGCCTCCTGGCAACAGAGAGAAAAGGGTTTAGAATAGGAACCAACTGGATTTATTAAACACAGCCTACCCCAAAGAATCAAAGTTGAAAGGGTCCTGGTGATGTGGGAACTGGCTTGAAGGTACGAGGGGCAGGGAGATGGGATGTACTATGGCTTTGGTTTTCTTTTAAATCTTTTTTTAAAAGGATCTTTTCTTTTTTTTTTTCCTCTTAAAATATCTTTGTGAAAGAAAAAAGAATGAAATTATTCTCTTTCCACTTTAAAGGGGGAAAAATCACTAAGCTCAGGAGAGAGAGCATCTTGTCTAAGGTCATGGAATGATTACAAAGGAGGTGAGGTTAACACGCTGTGGTGTCCACCTACCCAGCCTTCCTATCCTGCTCCCAGAAGTGCTCTTTCTTCAGGAAATCCCCCATCTCCTCATCTCAATCTGTGTAGTTCAAAAGGAACTGAAGGCCCACACTGGCTCCAGGAATAGAGACTGATTAATTAGACCATTCCATCCCTTAGGCAACAGCGATTGGGTCAGTGATGGTTACACGACCTGTGCCAACCCAATACAATTCAAGCCCAGGACCTTTGTTGGAGAGAGTAGGAAAAGTAATCCTTCCCTGGGAATGAAGCCACCGCATAGGAGATGGAGAGCAGTGATAGAATACTGATGCCATCATTTGAACACCTGAATCCAGCTGTGCCTGAAATCCACACTAGACCTTTTTAATTACAAAAGGGAATAAATGCTCCTCCATGGCTAAAAACATGCTTGAGGACACAAAGCTGACTTCTTCAGATAAATGAGCCCCACCTCGGGCCCTAAATTGCATGCTTTAAATGCAAGGTGCCCTCTGCCTCAAATATTCTTCTCCCACAGAGAACCCAAGCTTAGTTCCTCACCTCCTTCAAGTCTCTGCTCAAGTATCACCTTTTAATGAAATCTTCTCCAGCTACCCTTTCAAACTTCCAACTCTGCCTTCCAACAGCACCACCTTTCTGTTTTATTTTTCATTTACAGTCTGCCTCCCCCTCCCAACTCCTGTACCCTGAGGGCCTTGGAAGAGTGCCTTGCATACAGGTGGCTCAATAAACACGAACGAAAAAATATAAAGAGCTATACGTATCAACCCCCCCACCCCCCCACTGGGTTTAGGATTGTCAAACAAAATTCAGGGCACCCAGAGAAATTTGAGTTTCAGATAAATGAAACCCAATTTTTGTTTACACAGCACACAGTTATACTGAAAAAATATTCACTATATAAAATTTAACTGCGCCCCCTGCTCAAATATCCACTGAGATTGTTTTTGCAGATACAGATGTATAAAAGACGCCAGCAAATTATGTTCACCACTTAAAACCTTAGAATTAAATTTCAAAGCAAGTAAGACAGTAGGGAATCACTGTGAGTCGGAGCAAGGGAGAGAAACCAAGGCAGGGGTGACCACCTTGGTCTGCAGTGAGTGGGGGTGAGGCAGAGAGAGGAGAGACAAGCTGAGAGGCACGGGTGAGTCATCCCCTTGGGGACGGCAGGCAGGCGGGCAGGCAGGAAGCTGCTCCTGACACAGGGTTTTCCCCTTCTGGCCTCCGTGGGCTCCAGGAAAGCTGAGAAGCCAAAGGCACTGGGTGCTCACACCGTCTTTCCAAGCGTATTGGGCCCCAGGGAGCTAGAAGAGTCTAAGAAGAGGTGTGGAGTGGGGGGATCACAGGGTGGGCACATTTGGGGACCACCTGACACCTGTGGGGTCTGCTGCCCAAGCCACCTAAGGCCAGTCTCAGTCCAGAGACCCCGAGTCTCCATCACACGGAGATTCGGCACAGGTTGGTGTACCGAAAATCACAACAGCCCTGATCCAGAGGCCCGTCCCCTGAATCTTAGGAACCAAAAGTGTGGATTCACTCTCTTGCCCCTACAGCATCCCCCTGCCCCATGAGATGGGGACAACACAGCCGGCCCCGTGGGTGCTGGAGGGGTTAAGCAGCGCTCAAAGGCACACGACACACTCAGTTACTAGTCCCACCACCTCCCACCTCTCCGCGAGCCACTGAGGCTCAAAAGCAGTGATTCTCAAGTTCAAGTGGGCATCAGAACCACTTGGAGGCCTTGTTAAAACACAGAGTGCTGTGCCCCGGGCCAGAACCTGCATTTCTTTTTTTTTTTTTAAGATTTTATTTACTTATTCATGAGAGAGGGAGAGAGAGAGAGAGAGAGAGAGAGAGAGAGAGAGACAGAGACACAGGCAGAGGGAGAAGCAGGCTCCATGCAGGGAGCCCGACATGGGACTCGATCCCGGGACCCCAGGCTCAGGTCCTGGGCTAAACACTGCGCTAACCCGCTGAGCCACCCAGGCTGTCCAGAACCTGCATTTCTAGCACTTTCCCAGAGAATACCGATGCGGCCAGCCCGGGAACCCCACTTTGAGAACCACTGTTCCTAATCACACTGGCCCGGCTTCATCATCCCCGCCCTGATCTAAAATGGGACGTGGATCTTAACATCCAGCTCTCGCCCAGCCTCTCCTTTCACCCAGGACGGAACAACCGGCTTCTTGCAGAAGGAGGGGTTGTGAGGGGACAAGGGAGAGGTCAGTGCAAGGGCAAAGCCCTCAAACCAGAGGCTCTTACGTCTCCTTGGGAGTGGTGCCCCCCGCCGTGCATCCGAGCTGGAGGCTCAGCCTCCACAGACCTCGGAGGAGAGAAGCAGCATGAAGAGGGCCACGAGGCAGGGAGTCCTCCCCAGTCTCGGTGGTTTCAATGCATCAATAATTCAGAGCACAAGAGGTGTACTGCAGATAATGCCCTTTTGCCAGCCCTCTTAACTATTGTTTTACAAGGCATTCATTATTTTAATTACTTTATGATAGGCAAGGAAAAACACAGACTAAAGAAAGATAATGCCCGTGTTATTATTTGCTAATACTCGATGCCGTGGGCTCAATTACCACATGCGGGAGGCAGGACTGGGGCAGTGGCAGGGCAGAAAGGAGGCCAGAGCTCTGCAGAGCCTGATGCCAGCCAGCCAGGTTGGCCCCACTCGGCCTGCAGGGAAGCACCTCCCCCCCACCTTTGACCTCACTCTGGCCAAAGCATCCCTCGCTGGCAGCAGGTACAGCCCCACGCTCTGGAGAAAAGAGGGCAGCGGCCCAGGGGGGCTGGGTTCTTGTGGAGGCACACAGCAGGGAAGAAACGGTAAGGGACAGCACCCAGTCTAATGGTGACTGGTCACCATTCATGAAGCCAGAACTGGGTGCCAGCAACTAAAAATTAAGTGCTTTCCATGGACGAACTCGCTTAGAGCTGATGATAATCCAATGGACAGCTGGGGTTACCCCTGTTTTACAAACAGGGTAAGTGGGAGCAGGGATTTCTCAGAGGAAGGCACAGTGCAAGGGCTGGGGGCCGAGGGCCCCCCTGGGCTAAGTCAGCTGTGCCACTTACAAGCTGGCTGCACTGGGCGGGTTACAATTCCAGAACTTCACCTCCTGCACAATAATGGGGACCAGCACGTCGACCCCACCGAGGTGGGGGGCACAGCTTATGTTAGATAAATGATGCACAGTGTTTGGCCCGGTGCAAGGCAGTTAGAGTTGCCAAGACAGAGCACCCACTCACGGGAGGGATTGCCTCCAAGGATGTTCCGTTAAAACTGCACCACCCCATTGACTAGTAGCCCCGAAAGGGACGCCGATGACCCTAGGTGGGACCCTGAGCCCGAGAGAAGCCTTAATAAATAATTACAGGATGGAGGATAAGCAAGCGTAAGTTCTAGTGGCTCTGGCTTTTCAACGAGGCAACGGGCCGCTGGATGGGAAGGCACCATGACTTCTGGAGGGGCTCCCGCAGGAGCTGGGTGGCACCTCCCCAGGCCGGGGGCCGCAGGGCTTCCTACACAGGGTGGGCCTTGGACCAAGAGACCTCTTAGATTCCTTCTGACTCTGAACTCCATCAGATCAACCTCCCACTCGAGATGAGGAGACTGTGGGCCAGAGGGAGGCTGCCTCCCGGGTCCCAGGACACCACTCCCTCCCCTATGCCCCCAGGATACTGGGGAGTGGGGTGGGAAACTGTTCTGAATGGCAGAGTGGGCATCCATCGAAACTTCCACTTCCCACTGCAGGGAAGGACCCAGATGCTCTTCCAGGAGGACTTCTGAGCAGGGTCAGGCAGGCAGCCCTGGCATCAGGAGGGACCTGGCCCTGATCCCCTCATTCATCCTCCACGGAGACCTGTGTGTGTGTGTGTGTGTGTGTGTGTGTGTGTGTGTGTGTGTGAGAGAGAGAGAGAGAGAGAGAGAGAGACAGAGAGACAGAGAGACAGAGAGACAGAGAGAGAGACACAGAGAGAGAGACCCCATAAGCTACAGGCTCCAGCTACCTTAGCCTCAGACAGGACAGAGATTTTCTGAAATGGAGAGAAGGATGCCTTGGGGAGAAGAGAGGAACACTAAGGAAGAAGGGACGGGGAAAGAATGAGACTGGGTAGGGCTTGGGGGGCGGGTGGGGCATGTCCTGGAAGATGCAGACACGCTATAGCCACCTCCCTTGATAAAAGGGTTCCATCATACTTGGGAGGCCCCCCTTCCCCCCAGTCCTGCCCTCTCCCACCACCAGAGTCTTCTGTAAAATAAGCCACAGCTGCCTCCTGCAGACAACACAGGACAACATGTAATGCCAGCGCCCAGACCACAGGGCAGGGGTGCAGGTACAGGAGTCTGGGGGCACCCTGGAGGGCACCATGGCCAGCTGGCCCCTCCGCCTGCCTGCTCTCACAGGCCTCACCCCTTCTGTGCCCTCCCCCATTCCTTTGAGTAACGTCCCCTTCAGTGACTTTCTGTTGGCGTGATGCAGAGGGCGTAATGCCTCCCTTGTCACCTGTGGCCAAGGGTCTGACCGGACCACACTCACCTGGTGCTCACTACACAGAGCACACATCTGTTGGACGTTTAGACATTTCTCCTGAATCATAGGATCAAACACCAAAGCCTGAGAAGGACCTCAGTAACCCCTTGGGAT